TGTAAACTCTCCAGAGGGTTGCAATATCTTTTCCTGTATATCTTGCCCGTATATCCTGTGTATCATTGTTCAAGGGGCTGATGGTTTGTGGAACCAAACCATATATACAATTATAGCACAACGTTTTTTAGCTGTAAAACCCTGTCAATCTTTTTACTTCAAAGAAAGTCATGAGTCCTTTTAGGTCTTCCTATATAATCTGAACTATTCTATCTTTTATGTCCTTTTCCCTGAGCTGGACATTAAGTTTAACCTCCACTGCTGAAATCTGTCTAGCCTTTACATCTTTAGATCATTGAACAGAACAATATTGTAGTTCCATGACTTCTCCTTAACTTTAGTTTCTTTTTAATGCACATTTTCTTTCTAGGATTAAAATTGTCAACCTATCGACCTTTTATTAGGACTGGCCATTGGACCGAAACAACTGAAAAATAAACTGAGCTTAAGTTTCTTTTGTTAGGTTCGTTAGGTACCATCAAGAATATTGTTCTTCTATTAGCGCTCATTTTGTTGCTGACTACGGCCATGTTTTACCGAAATTTTAATTATTATTTTACCCCTGAACGAATTTACCTTTAAACTTTTCAAGACTTGAACAAAATTGCAGAAGATCTTGGACCCAAGTTCTTTCAAGTGTTTTAGGGGTAGTTGAGTATGGGGGCAAGAACAAAAATTGATTGAACTAAGCACCTGTATTAGTCAAATCGGTGTACAACTGGTTAAGTTGCGTTTAATGGTAAACACCAATCTTGTTCCTTCTATAAAAGCCGGAGGATTCTTTGGGAAGCTAATGAATTTGATGAACAAACTTAACCTGGGCTTTATTCTGTGAAGGTTATTGATCTGTGAAAACAGACTAACACAGTGACTATTTGATATGGAGAAGAAATCGGTGTTTTTTGAACTTATTTGACAACCCATTTATTATATTGATTTCTTGTTCGTATAGATAGTTAATTGCAATTCAAGCTGATGTGCTTTGTTGTTGAAGGTGGGCCCTGGAGAGGTGGATGATGAATTGGAAGATGAAGTAGCATCAGAGTGTGCAAAGTATGGGACAGTGACCCGGGTGCTTATATTCGAGATAACAGAGCCAAATTTTCCAGAGAACGAGGCAGTGAGGATCTTTATCCAGTTTGAGAGGCCTGAGGAAACGACTAAATCATTGGTTGACCTTGATGGTCGGTACTTTGGAGGCAGAGTGGTTCGTGCCACGTTCTATGATGAGGAGAGGTTCGGTAACAACGAGTTGGCTCCAATGCCAGGAGAAATCCCAGGTTTTACTTGAATTACAGAGTTTCAAATGCAAGCTTATTTTCCCGCATACGTAGAGTTACTGAGAAAGATAATCTAGGCTTTGATTTCGACATTGCCACTAACGGCGTGTGTTGCTAGCAGTGTTAGTGGAATTCAAACTCTGGTAGTAGCTTTATTTTTGTGATTGGATCAAGCTTATTTAACACTGTAAGTGTACAATCACATAAAAGGTGGTTATTGCTCTTAGAATGCTTGACCAATTCCTTGTGCCACAAGGCTTTTTTTTTCCCGTGCTGTTTCAACGCCATTTTTTAACTGTTTTAGGGTTTTAAGCTTACTTGCCATCCAAAACGAACAAGGAAACAAGTAATTGATACTGTAAATTCATATATTAGAGGAAAATCAGATTGCAGAAATTCATTTACTCTTTCAAATCCCAACTCATGGGATGAACTAAACTATATAATATATGAATTAAGGAAGATACGGTATGTTCTAAGGCGCGGTGAAGCGGAGGCGAAGCAACCGGCGTGGTAATGTTAGAGTCCTTGGCTTCCTGCAGTTGGTGGTGGCCACCTTCATACATTCACAATGACGAGTAGATGCTCATATTGCTGCTGGGGTTGGTGGTGGTGGTGGTGGTGGTGGTGAAGGCGGCGAAGCGACTTGGAGAATCTGTGGTTGAACACTCACCACACTACACCTCGGCGTTGGTGTCGCTGTTACCACCGTAGTGCTCGCTTTGGGGGTTCCATGTTGGTGCAAATTGAACACCATAGAAAGCTTCAGTGTTGGTAGGAACCATGAAAGGAGGAGGAGATGCATAATTAGTGTGGTGGTGGTGTGAGTGTGAGTCGGGAAATTCTGCAAATCCAAGTCCTCCATTGCCACGAAAACTTGCATTATTGCCCATCACAGAAAAAACATTGCCATCAGCTCCAATTGCATTTCCATTTCCACCCACAAAAATGGGGTCGAATTCACAATTTAGTCCTTCACTGCCGATCATATTTGGTGGTGGTTGGCGGTGGTGCTTGTTTCTTCTGGGATCTCTGTTGGTGTTGATCATTTGTTGGTCGGAACTTGGAGACCAAGGCTCTGCATGTTTGCCAGCTCTCGCCAACTTTCTAATTAAAGTAGCAAATTCCACGTTTCCTATCACAGTGATCTTCTCTTCTTCTGCCTCTACGTTTACACTATAAACACCTGAATTTAATTATAATTTAAAAAGTAAGTAGGGTATTATGATAAGTAAATAGTTAATGTCTACAACTCGAAAAAAATACGATGAAATAGTTCGTGCTACATATGTAAGTTAGATCAGTTGACTAACGTAGAGTGATCTTTTACTTGGATACAATTTTGAATTTCCATTCCCACAAATTAGATTAAGGGATATTTTGGATGCGGTCCATAATCCTTAACATTCTTTGATTAAAACCTTAATATTATTCAAAGTTTGATCAAGGTCCCTTGATTTTGTACACCTCATTATATTACTATTAATATTTATATTTTTATAGTTTTGACATTAATTATTTGATATTTTATGAGATTTATAATCCTATAAATTTAAAATCCCTCATTATAATACTATTAGAAACGGTTACAATAAAAAAATTCAAACATTTTGATTGAATAAATGGATAAAAAATATGTAAAAATAAGAAATAATAAATGGTAAAAGAATGTATCCATAGTGTTGAAAAAATTGGTACATTTTACAAAAAAATTGGTACATTTCACATATAACAAAGTGGTACATTAATAAAGAAGAATGGGTACATTAGAAATAAATTAGGGTACAAATAAAAGATTAAAATTTATGAATACAAATGAATTTTTAAAAATATAGGTGCTAAAAGAAATTAGTGCATGGGTACAAAATAAAACTAAAAAGAAAATACTACAAATTTAAAAAAAAAATGTTGCAAATTAAAAGTGGGTACAAACTAAAAATATAAATATATGATACAAAGTTTAGGCATAAAACATAAATATACCATATGTAATTTTTCTATTATTGATTAAATATACATTGTCACGTGACGGTATACACATGGGTACAAACACAAATAAAACTTTAAAAAAATATGGGCACAAAAAGGAACTAATATATGGATACAAATTAAAAATGAAAAGAAAATTGGTACAAATTAAAAAATATTTGCAAATTAAAAATAGGTACAAACTAAAAATAAAATTATATGATAAAAAAATTTAACCATAAATATAAATATACTAATTGTAACATTTTTAACATTAAAGGAATATATTTAAAAATAAAAATATTTTATTATTCAAATAATTAATGATGTTATTAATACCCAAGGACCTTGATAAAAAATTGAAAATGAATAGGATTTTAATCAATGGAGTAACAAAAATAAGGATGTGAACCTAATTTTCCTTTAGATTAATTAAGAGTGTTTCCTATCATTGCTAGTTAGGGTTAACTAAAGGCCTCCTCTTGCGTGTTTCCCTCTACAGTTACTAACAAAACCATCTTGTCCAAAAGTAAGCAAGGGACTAGCGGCTAAAATGATTAAAAGTTTTAAACTATCCACTCGAAGTTCAGAGTTCGATTCTTCCCCGGTCTCACAATATAGTAAATATGTATTAAACATATTTTCTGCAGTCCAAAAAACTGAGATCTAATAGGGGGTTCCAGTGGAAGCCAGACTTGTAGTCAGAGAAGGTTGAAATGCTTGTGAGTCTTTCCGGTTCCTAAAAATGATGGATAATCGTAGCTTGCCACTAGTTATCTCTATTTTCAAAAGAAAAAAGAAAAAAAAAAGGGGGTTCTAAATCCCCCTTCCGGTATAAGAAAAACAACAAAAATATGGTGCATGTTGAAGATATATAGAACCTTGGATCTTCCGGAGGATTTTTTTCACTTTCTGCTCACATCCTTCACAGTTAACGTGCACTTTCAAAACATGCGTCTGCAAAGAAAACACAACAACGAAAAAAGTATTTCAATTTATATGCATTGAAGAAAAAAATGAAAGGGGAAGATATGAGGGAGGAGGAGGAGACCTGGATACTGAAGAAATCAAAATCAAATGTCGACGACATCTTTCTAGCTGCTGCTGCTCAAACAAGCAGAACAACAAATGAACAAGTTTCTTTTTTAACGAGGGGATTGTGTTTCCTTTTATGGCGATGGGGATTTTTCGTTTCGTTTGGCCAAAATAATGCTTTTAAAGTTGTGCAGACAGGACAGAAAATATCAAAAAATTTAGAGCGCTTTCAGGGCATGGAACACAACAAGTGTTTTAATCGTTGAGTTTTTTATTTACTTTAAAGAAGAAATTAACGGTTCAAACACCGAAAATATAGGACATAAAAGGAGTAGACGAACGAAATGTAGGACTGACAGTAGGAGGAGGCGGTTCGGAAAGTGTGATTTGACCATGCACAGAGATGACAAATTTTGGGGGATAAGGATTGTCTGTCCTTTCACTTCTGGTGTCTTTCTGTGTTCTTTTGTTTTGTGTGGTCACGATTAAACCACGTCAACATTTTATATTAATATTTATTTTTATCTTATTATCTTTAAAAAACAATATAAAATATTGATGTGATTTAACCGTGACCACACAAAATAAAAAGGCACAGAAAGTGAGAAGGCATACAATTCTTGTCCAATTTTGGGAGGCATCGTACGATACACACTCTCTCAACAACTACTGATCTTTTGAAATTCACAAGACTTTTCAGCAAAATGATCTTTAAGATTGATATAAATTCTCACTTTAGTTTTTTATAATGAAAATCCATATAAGTGGTCCTGAGGTACTCGGCTTGATGACAGCTCGAGTACATTGCTGCTCATCGAGCCGAGCAACTCTGTCTCTCATACACAATCTACATAGAGACGAAAGGTATACAATAAAGGGATTTTCAAGTATGTTGTATCCTGTGTATTAACTTCAGATCAATACATGGAAAACAGGAAAAGCATACAAGGACGGAATTAGACGATTGTTCTATGTGCGCCAAACGCCTCCAAGGAAAAGCTCTGCAAAACAGACCATGGAGATCTCCAACGCACTGGCTCACAGGCTTAATCCCGGAACACTTCCATAACAAACCATTAACGTGTTCTTTCAAGACAGCATGAACTTTAGTTTCACAGAGGCGTTTCAAGGTCCGGCCTTCGATCGAGTACTTGTTTCGAGTCATCTGGAAATGCATCTGGATAGGTAGCCAAAATTCTTGACTTCATGCTCCTGTTATAAATCACCGCAATGAATCAACACTCGGATCAAAGAAGTAATCAAATATATCACAAACTAAACTACATTTGACATCAACAACTTAGCACAAAATATGCAACTTCCTAAGCATCAGGAAGCTAATACATAACTGCATCAACTGGAAAATTGCATTGACCGGAAGTAAACACCACTCCAGACACCAAAATAAATGTTCAGTTAAACTCGCAAGGCTCATCCCGTTTTCTATTTTCGCTTCCGTGTGTGTGTGTGACTTTGCTTTTAGTAATATCAAAAGATTTAGTAAAAGGTGCCTTGCGAGAATCGGGGGGTTGGGTCGGGGGCATCTATTGTCCGCTACCTTATCCGTACTTTGCAAAGATTCAGTAAGCACTTTAAATAATCAGATCCCGAACCAAAAGAAAGAACTGATCATACCTTAACTTCTGAAATATGTGTTCAAGATCAGTCTTCATAGACTTTAAACGGCGTGTGTTTCTCGAGAAATCTGCAGAAACCTCAGCAAAACTGTTCTCTGAAAACTCATTAAAATGTGACAGGACTGCATTTCCATCTTGCAACCTCCCCAATCTGCACCAGTAGATTTAAATGCCAGGCAAGTAAGCACCCAAAGGCAAAGACAAAAATAAGAGCTGAATCACGGATCATGAAATACAAAAGGTATAACTATTAAATATCCATTCAGTATAAGCATCGCACGGTGTTATTACCGTTTCCGCAGCGGAGGGGAAATATAGGAAACGATAACATTTCTGCATAATATACATGCAAATGAAATTGTTCGAAATAGAAAATCCAATTCCAAGGTTTCTACAATTTGGGCATACGATACAGGCAGGATTAAGAATAAGGATATAAAGTAAGAGCGGCCGCAATTGAAGATACGAGAAAATTGGTTAAGGTAGTTTAGACATGTGAAACGAATGTCACAGCAAAATGGTAGAAGAAGACCTAGAAAGACTTTGATAGAGACTTTACAAAAAGACATGGAGTGCTTGGAGCTAAAAAAGATTTGGAGTAATGCAGAGGCGTTCTAGGATTCATACAATCGACTCGTCTTAGTGGGATAATGCTGTGGTCGATTTCCACTTCCCCTTTCCTCCCACTCAAGTTCCTCTATTCAATTCAACAGATGACCAAGTAGGGTTTTAATTTTCACACAAACCCATGATTTAATGTCCTTGTTAGCAAAACAAATTCTTAGAAACAGTTCATCCAAACCTATGAATAAAGTTTCTTCCTTTCTCTCCCTCTAACTCTCCAAACAGCATTTCACAGAAACCCAATTACACATATGAAAATATGCAACAAACAATCGAATTTAAAATTAAATGAACAATGGTAAACAAGAATTTAATTAAAAATTGCTCAGTCAGAGGAGAGAGAGAGAGAGAGAGAGAGTTTTCTTACATGATGTGCTGCAATTGTTTGAGGGAATCCAAGTCCTGAGCATCGATTAGTGTTTTGAAGTCATTCGATATCTCCTCTGACGCTTCCCTGATCGTTTCTTTCTCCGTCTGTTCCATCTTCTCTTCCACCAACCTATCACTCTCTCAGGACTCGTCAGAGTGGGAGGTGGTCGGAAGAGAGCCACAGAGCCACTGTCTCCTTTGGGTCGGGCTACAGGCCCACAACCCAAATAAGGCGAGTCAAATAACCCAAATAAGCAGGAATTCCAGGAGTTAATTTACATGGGCCGGTCCCAAGTGAGAGCTTACACAGGCCCACGATAAATTGGCATTACATTAGGTTGAAAACTTGAAGGCTCAACCTTTGTGGTTTATCCACACAAAAAAAAATGGTTGGCCTTGAGTCCTTTTGTGAGAAAGTCCAAGGATTGTTGGGTGATCAAAACAAACTTAGGGGGTGTATTCAATTGAGAATGTGAGAGATTTTAATGGATTTATAAATCCATGGATTTTTATGGAGTTTAATTGATTTGTAGAGATTCCATATAAAATTTTGATTCAATTCTCTCGAAATCTCATGGGAAGATGTGAGATTTGTGGATACTTAAAATACACTACGAAATCTCTCCAATTCCCTCTAATTCTTTAACTTTCTCAAATTCTTTAAAATCAATTTCTAATTGAATACACCTGGAATGTTATAAACTTCTTTAAAATCTTAATTGAATACACCTAGATTTCTAAGGATTTTAATAAACTATTTTGAAATTCTAATTGAATACACCTAGAATTTCAGAGAATCACTTAAAATCCTAATTGAATACCCCTGGAATTATTAATTCCCTGAAACTCTCTCAGAATCCTAATTGAATACACCCCTCTTACTCTTCAACTCCTGAAAAATATTTCATAGTCCTGTTGTGTCACCGATCGATTTCGGTTTAGGGTTTAGAGTTTCGAGTTTAGAATTTAGGCTTCCGTCTGAAAAAATGTAATTTCATAGTCCTGAATATCATTTTTTGGGTATTTTTGCTCTTGCGTGTAAGCTTCCTTAAGATTCATAACAAATTTCGTTGTATGAGTATAAATTATAATTAGCATTTTTTTATCATTTAGCTGACCTTAGGGCATGTCCATGACTACATGAATGATACGAAAAAAACAACCTTTCGGTTTTGTTTAGGGCATTACTTCTGATCACTAACCCTTTTGCGTTCATGCTAGAAAGTTACTTTTGACCCCAATCCTTTATCTCCTTGATATTATGGAAGAAGAATTGAAAAAATATCATATAAATATGTTCATTATTTCCCACTACAAACTAAATAAATAAGTTCTAAAAAAACCTAAATAAATAAAAGAAAATTTACTAGGTCAACATGTTTACATGCTTTTGCTGGCATAATAAATTTCAAAGTTGTGAGAAGTATGAATCCAAAATTTGCACACTTGTTTGTTTGGTCCAACACAAACCCAAGTAAAGATTTGTGAGATAGAAACAATTCATGACTTATATTTCTTAAAACCCACCCTGCAAAACTCCAACCATCCACAATATCCCCTTCCTCTTCAAACAAACAAATTAAACATACATATATTGCCAAAGGAGACCCAAAACCCACCAAACATCATAACCATCCTGCCCTGCACTGCATCTCCCACCAAACAGCAAAAGTCCCTCGTACTGTCACAGTCCCCTAAAACCCTAATCCTCCAAAAAAAAAAAAAAAAACAATTCACAGAAACATGAAAGCTTCACCGGTACCCCCCCACCGCCCCACCAGTCAAACACTCAAACTATTCAGTATTCACCCTGATAACCACTAATTAAGACTCTCTGAATAATGCCTCTCTCAGACCATGATTGTCTATCGGACTCAAACCCTAGCTGGCTACTAAATAAATTTAAGAAGCCTGCAGATCATTAGATTTGGTTAAAGATGTCATCAAAAATTTTCCACAGTCAGACAAGCAAAGCAAAACCCAATAAACTAACTCAAACCCTAGCTAGGGTTAGTGTTTTCGAAAAGCTAGAGATCTTTGCACTTTAATATTTCTCTGCATTTCTTTTGCACTGGTCTTTTTTCCGTTGTTGGAGAAACCAACAGTGCCATAAAAAGGATTCAAAGGGCACGCCCAAGTTGAAAGCTCTGACTCTACCCACCTGAAAAAGGGATAATTTTCTTATTAGATTTTAAAAAAATGAAAAATGAAAATCATAAAAAAATAGAAGCATGAGATTAAAGCAGTATTGACAAAAGTGGAGAGGTAGGGTGGGTGTCTCCATGCGGGAACACCTGCTTTAATTTACTCTGCACCACAAGATAGAGAGATTCATATCATTTTCCCATAAATAAACCCCATTAGTTTAATTTACCTGTCATCGTTTAATTTGTTAACAAATACGCAAAAAATATAGAGCACGAGACTCGAAATTTTCACAGTGCCTACCGCCTTTCGTGCTCAGCTTTAAAAACACCTCGAATTTCAAATGCTGAAAAGGCAAAGGAGGACATCTCAGCCTCCGGGCAGAAGAGTAGAAGAGGCCCCTCCTCAAACCATGTAACTGTTTTATGCTCATGAACAGGCATGTAATGTCCATGTTTGAACATGTTGATGTATGTATCTGCATGCTGGAAACAATGCCGTTATTAGGACTATGCATGCATTGCATGGCATGCATCATGTTATTATATGTACTTCGGATGAATTGCCAAGTAAAATTAGGATGAAAAGAACGTATATAGTGTATTATCAAAAACGTACGTAGTAATTAACTTGTACTAGTAGGAAAAAAAAATCTTATATATCTAAAAGAAAACAAAGTGATAATTCATGTTATATTATTGAAATTAGAAGCATGTTTAGGTAACATGGGAAATAATTAGTAGAATAACACATTATAACACCCTCTTTCTAATCATGTAAAGAAAAATACATAATAAATTATGGGATGTGCTATCCACACATCCCAAATTACTACTCACATCCTTGTTAATTTCTATTCACTGATATTCTTCAATTCATCTGATCTGACGGTCGAATTTTAAAATGATGTGTGAGAAGTAAAATGAGATGTGTGGATATCACACCTCTAAATTATATGTTCACTACATGCAAGTTCTCGAAATAAAACTCATATAACAAGATTGCCGTCTTATGTTATTAGCTTTGATTGTTATATTTTTGGTGGGATATGTGTTGACTATTTATAGATGCATAGTCAATTTAAAGTCCAGATATGCTATTTAAATTACTTTTTTTAGATAAATTTATAAATCTTACAATGTTTCACTTATAAAAAATAAGCATATTAATTTTCATAATCATCAACAAACACATTAATATTTAATTCACCCTTTAAAGTCCGTTTTGTTGGGAAGCTGTTGGGCAGCCTTGTGATATAAAACACAGAACGATAAGATGTTGATGGACATGACTTGAATCCAAATTTCCAATCAAAGAGAGACAAAATCAGGACTAGTGTACGTATTTATGTCAATGGTTTAGCCACCAAACCTAACCAAACCAAGCACGTAATTGATAATAATTACCAGATTAATTTTAGGGTTCATCATTAGGCTACACAGTAAAGAGTAGGTGGTCCATAACATATTAGCACAAGCATATACCGTATAGCAGACAAGGCAGAGCAGAAAAGCTGAGGGGAGGCAGGAGGGCATGGGGTTTAGGCTTTTGGGCACGTCTTTTAATTGAAGGGGAGAAATGGGTCTGGCTTCGTTTCAGAAGTATACTGATTGTGATTGGGACATGGCTGGTGTTGAATGGCAAGTGTGAGGTCATCCCTCCCCTCCATCGGATGAGAATCCTCTGCGAGAATTCCAAAGATCACTTCTTCATGTCTGTTTATTATGTTGTTAAATTTTGTTATATATGATTTGTGTTTAATTTTTTATAAAATAATTTAAAATAATTTTTATTGGCTTGATAACAAATAAACGAACACAATAAAGTAATTTTCGAGATCCTCATAAAAAAAATCGAGATATGATTGTATTCCCCCTCCCTCGATCCCACTCCCTTGACTATTTATAAACTTGTGTGGTGTGGCCATTGAGCAAAGTGAGATTCTTTTTGGCCCGCTTATCTCAAAGATTCAAAACCCCCAACAGAAATAACGATTCTTGCAATTTCCATTTATGGAGTAAAACATAACTTTAGGATTTTAGTTTAGTGAAAAAGAATGTTTGTGATGTTAGAATCTAAGTCATGTTTGTAAGAGGGAGAAAACCTATTTTTGCTTTTAATTATGCGTATTTTCAACACCATGAGAAAGTTTAGATTCATTGTTTACCTAGTGTTGTGATTAGGTTATCGTTGTGAGTTTACATTATTATTTCACCTTTTCCCTGCAAAAATAAAAAATAAAAAAATAAAAAATCATATGACCGGTATTTTGGTTTCGGTTTCGCACTAAGATAACATCGAATAGATATACAAGAAGCTATTCTCTTTTTTTTGCTCCATTTTAGTTTCTTTTCTTTCAGTTTCACCCAAAAAGTTAACAAAATCTTCAGATCAATAGTTTAAATCTACAATCGGACAACAATTCAATGGAAAGATTACTAACTAGTCTCCTTAATTCAATTATATGTTTCAATATTTTATTACAAACTTTGCTAGGTGCACTTTCATCACAATCTCAATGTGCGTGGAAATATAAAACAAACTACATATACAAATCATTACGGTTCGGTTGGTTTACTGGTTGTTGTGTATACAAAGTGAAAAATATTAGGAGACATTTTCAAAAGTAAAACTTTTTATAAACTCTCGGCCGCCTTATATTTTTTATGCAGTGTCTTATAATGTTGACACAAAATTAATGTTAAACTGTTGCAAGTGCAACAAAAAATGTGAGAGAGGACTGGGACCAATGACTTCACCAGCATGCAACGTCGTACGGCAGCATGACATACTCGGATACTCCACAGCATCACACTAATTACACAGAATCCATCAGGTGACGTGTACTTGGTTGGTTTTCTTGCAACCATTTCAAATATATACCATGAAACGTTTAATCTCACATTTAAGGAGTCCCAAATCCAAATTAAAAGCATAATTTCACGTTTATGTGTATTTAATAGTTATTTGTTAGGGGTGGACACATGTCGGATCACATCAAATGGTATAAACTTGAGCTCTAAAAAATCAGTCACAAAAAACGAACAAAAAATAGATAAAATACA